ATAATCATGGTATTTAAAGCCATATAAACAGAGTGGATCACTGCAGGCGTGAGTACAGGTGCTGAGAGACATCCAAGGTGTAGCCCTGGGATAACATTTAGAGATGTGGAAAAGAAGAATCCAGCAGAGTAGATGACAAAGGGAGAGGAGGAGGAGAACTACTATTGACTGTAAAAAACGCAGTTTATACAGTGACCCTTCATTAATTGAGAGGTCATTCTTCCCACAGACACAGATTCCTCCTATATCTATTGACTCCTCAATTTCTGCCTTACTTTAAACCACAGGATGAATGTGGAAGTACCACTTGCATAAACAGATCTGCAGTAACCCTTATCCCAATTTGGGGATCTGTCTTCTGACCTAGCATAGTAGCGGTATGATAGAATTAGTCATACCTTAGGTAGTGACAGATGTTGAATTATAGATATTTTCTTTAATAAATCAAGCCTTTTCAGGTTGCTGTTTAGGTGTTATATCAGAGTTCAGTGTGTGAAATGGAAATCTGGTTAGGTGTTTCAACTAGGAGGGAATTTAATATAGATAATTAGACACTTATGATATTACTGAAAGGTTATTGGACTACTGTTGGACTATTGGTTTCAGGCCTAACCACCATTGCTGCTACTGCTATTACTACCACAACTGCTCACACCCAGGAAGCTGAGAACCAGACGCAAGAATGCCAGCTTCCACAACAGCAAGGTGAGCTTCCCAGCGATTTTACTTTCCATATCTATATGAATACATGGTCATCCCTTAGTATCTGTGGGGATTGGTTGGTTCCAGGACACCCAGTGGATACCCAAGTCTGTGAATGTTCAAGTGCCTTATATAAAATGGTGCAGTATTTCATATAACCTATGCACATCCTCCAGTATATTCCCAGTCATCTCTATATTACTTATAAGACCTAATACAATGCCCACACATCACTGCATTCACATAGATTCGATGTAGCAAATTCAAGTTTTGCTTTCTGGAAATTTGAGGATTTTTATTTCTAAATATTTTTGATTTGTATTTAGTTGAATTCATGGATCTAGAACTTATGGATATGGAGGACCAACTCTGTATCATTAGCAGAACCCAAATCACATTCAAAACCTTTGCTCCCAGTGATTTTGAAAAAAATTTTAGACTTCTAGTCCTTAAGATACAGAGAACATACAAAAGACAGTGAAACTAGATTTCAAGTACTAACAGCTAATATCCAGCTCAAACATATTCAAAGGGTTGCAAGTCTTGCAAAGGCTTATAAGACTTAAGTATTTACTAAAAACTGCAACTTTTGCATGGCAAATATTTCATAAATATTTGCATTTCTGGCATCCTATAGTAGGAGAAAGCTTATGGTTCTTATCAGTTTGTTACCTTCTGCTCTTATTTTCTGCTTAGCTTCCAAAGAATTCTCCCACCATTGTGAATTATAATGTCTGTTACTCAACACTCCCTTAATATACTTTGAGTAAAAATGTTTTGGACAATCTATACCTATGTGCCCTTCCACCTGGCCTATGATGTTGATGCAGTGCAACTATTTTGGCATTTCATCTGCACAAGCAAATTGTTAATCAACTCATCTGCCGCATAAAAGATCAAATTTCAAAATGACTATGAAGGGAGAGTAGTGTGAAGGGCATTTGGTGGGGGAGGTTCACAATTTGTCAGAGTCTAGCCTGGGAGTACGGAGTTGACCTCACACAGTTTCCAGATCGGACCTTCTTATTCCTCAATTAATTGTAGATTATCTTATTCCATCACTGCCCATCTATGAAGTGCATTCCTTCTTCTCCCGCAATTAACCATCTCCTCTCCCTACTTCATGTCTAGGGTCAAATACCAATAGCGTATAGAATAGAGCAATAGGAAACACTTAGTTCATTTCAAAACTAAAATATTTTTTTGATATTTCTCTTATGGTTGTTTTTGTGCCTCCAGGCTTTTTAAGAAATTCAATAAAGAACGCCAAGAAATACATAAACCAAAGCCACAACCACAGAGTGAAATAAAGCTAAAAATTATGTCTGCTGTAAGAATACTTTACAGTGCCCCTCCAAGTGGACTCGACTAATGAGGAGAATTGCACAGGTGACTCTAGAGACACATGTCATGGCTAAGACTATTCGACTACTATCTTTCATGTTTAAACATAGCAATTAAAAATGAATTTTCCTTATGAATACTATAAGACTATGCATTATGGAATATTAAGATCTGTGATGTGAAAACAGAGATTGTTCGCTTCTTTGGGTTTCTTTGCTTTCTGAACTGAGGGCTCCTTGGGGACATCTACAATAAGGACTGTGCCCAGGAGACTGTGATAGAAAGCAGGGTTTTGACTAGAGTTTTGAAGGACTGGTAGAAATCAGCCACACAGAAAAAAAGGGAGTCAGCATATTCCAGGCAGAAAGCAAGGTATGCCCAAAGGCAAAGAGTTACTGTGAAAAGCATTATGTATTTGGGAAAATTCGGGTGGTTTAGTAGGACTGTGCTGTCAGGATGTGCAGGGGAGTGGGGATAGAGAAAGGCAGGGTCCACAATACACAGAGCCAAGATTATTAAGAGATGAAGTTTCTGCTTTGTACAGAAAGCTGCAGAGAGGAGATTTACAGTTTGGCAAAAGCACTCTGTCAGCTACATGGAGGATGCATTAGAGAGTGGGGAAAGACCAGAGACAAAGGAGTTCAGTTAGGAGGCTATTACAGTAAATCTAGGCAGGATCTGATAATGAGCCTAACAAGTGTTAAGTCAGTAGGAATATTAAGAAAAGGGAAAATTGTATTTGATAAGTAATTAAGCAGGAGAATCTAATATTACTCTGCCAACATAGTAGAGTGTGGCAGTGAAGATGGTAAGCTCTGGAGACAGACGGCCTGGGTTCAAACTTTGCAGGCTCTGACACTGTGGTGTGACTTCGGGAAAATTGCTTAACTTGTGCTTCAGTTTCCTCATTTATAAAATGGGGGTAGTAATTTAAGACACTGAAATAATACATAAAGAGCACTTAGGTCTTTTGCTCGGTACATAGTAAGTGCTAAGTAAATATTTCCTAGTCTTGCTATTGACTGATGATTTGGAAGTTGAGTGAAAGAAGAGATCAAGGTTGTTTCACAGCTGGCTTGACAAGGTGTCAGGTTCAGATAGGATCTTTGAATGCTTGAATCTACACTATTGCTGAGTTGTCTCTCCAGACACGATAGTCCATGTTGATATAAGGTATAAATCATCTCCGTTCCAATAAAAAAATCTCCCAGAGCTAACTATTAATATGCTCTGTTCCACTTTATTTGAGGATACTAGAATTGTTAAAGGCGATGATAAAAAATGGAGATGGGGAAAAGTGTGACAAGGAATGTAGAGACTTTAAATTTGGTACTGGTGTCCCATTCAAGCACCCGAGGTTTAAACTGAGAAGAATTTGAATCACTTCTTAGATCAGTTACCTAAAACTAATGACAAATGTCAATGTTTAAAAACTAGATTCTTATTTGGAATTTAACAGCTGGAGAAAATGAGGTGTGTGTGTGTGTGTGTGTGTGTGTGTGTGTGTGCTCGCGCACGCGTGGTATGTGGTGTGTGTGTGCTCGCGCACGCGTGGTATGTGGTGTGTGTGTGCATGTGTGTGTGTGGTATGTGGTGTGTGGGTGCATGTGTGTGTGTGTGGTATGTGGTGTGTGTGTTCATGTGTGTGTGTGTGTGTGGTATGTGGTGTGTGTGTGTGTATGTGTGGTGCTTTATAAAAGTCACTACCATAAAAGGACATCAAGTGCTTCATCTTCTTTAACGGCAAAAAAATACTGCTTTTTCAAAAAGTAAATAAACAATGAAGGATATCTTGGTTTTCCTTCTTACCCATTCCTCTAGGGGCAACTAATGAGAGTTAGGCAATAGAAGAGCTACTTGGTAAAAGTTCATGTTAATTAAGTATTATTTTAGGTTTCCTTGGTGGCTACTCTTACATATTTTCTTTATTCTTTTTTAGTAAGATCTAAATTAATCAAAGGGCAAATATATACATCCCTATTGTCAATTTCCCCAAGTCCTAATTATATCCTTTTTCTCATCTCTTGGTCTCAACCCTACAAAGAGAAACAATAAATCACCTTCTAACACTGGCTCAGCCCATCATGCACTACGACAAGCAGCTGTAGCCAGTGTGTAGGCAGTGGTATGGTAGGGTTGGCTGTGGCATTGACTCCCAAGAGCTGATTAGAAGCATCTCTTCCAAATTTCTTGTTCAGTGACTTCAAGTTGGTAGCTTAAAATGGGCCATCGTGATAGTATGTATACCACAGAAATTGACAAATTAGGGTTTTCCCTCCCCAAGAAAACTAGTTTTCCAGCACACCATTGAATTGTGTGCAAATATTTGCATTGATGCATTGCAATAACTATGTGATAAGATAGGTATTGTATATGCCTAACAGACACATCTAATGTATGCAACAGTAATTGGCAAAATAAAAAAAAAGCTATTTATCTATGTTGGACTTCCATTGATGAGATATCACTACCTATTACATATTTATTATCAATGTTCTCTATACATTTTATTGCTATGGGGGTACTAAGTGAAGTGTTACAAGAATGGAAAAACAAACACCACATGTACTCATTAAATTGGAACTAACCAAACAGCATTTATGTGCACAATAGGAAGTAAAACTCAACAGAAATTAAACAGGTGGAAGGGGGAAGGAGGGTATGGCTGAAATCATACCTAATGGGTACAGTGTACACTATCTGGCAGATGGGCACACTAATAACTTTGTCTCAAGCAGTACAAAAGCAATCCATGTAACCAAAACATTTTCACCCCTGTAATATTCAGAAATTTTTAAAAAATTAAAAAGAAAGTAAAAAGATCTATCGTTCACACCTTGCAGGTAATAAAATGTTGCTTAAAAAAATCTAAAAAAATTTCAAAAATGATACTAGTAGTTTTAGATTTAAGAAACTGCTTATCTTAAACTATTTTTATTCTACAAAAATGGCAATATCTTATGGTTCCATTTAATATCCTAGAGGCTGTAAGTAACAGAAACTCCTACAAATAGTAGTGTAAATAAATAAAACTTTGTGTCATATCACAAGAAACCCAAAGGAAAGCAGCACTGGCATACAGCTATTCCATGAATTCAGCGATGCTGTCAGTGATGTACTATCCAGCCCTACCATCCTTAGAAAATCGACTTTCATCCTGATGTTTGTCATCTCATGGTCACCAATGTCTGCTGTGCTTCCAGGGACCATACCTTCATCCCAAGCAGAAAAGCTGACAAGGGCAAGAGCTTTCCGTGCAGCCTCACCCCCAAACTTCCATTTCTATCTCATTGGCCAACACTTTTCACACGGTCACTCCCAGACAAAGTTGAACAAGATGGCTAAGGCGGTTTAGACCAATCATGATTCATCCCGGACCCTGGGGCAGGGACCTCCTCTCCTAGAGAGCGAGAGGTCTCAGCAGCCGCCTCTAACAAACTAAGGTTCCATTGGCTGGGAAAAGTAAGGAGGGATGGATGTGAGGAGAGTGACCAGTGCGCTCTGTCGCCATGTCCTTGGTTTATGAATTCAGGAATCTTCAGAAGGCGTTCAGCAAACTCCAACAAGATTTCCCATTTCTTGATTTAGCTGTGTGGAAGTACTATGAGTTATATATATTCTTTTTCACTGGTTGCTTAGCATTGTATCTAATTAGCATGCAGCTCAAAAAAAATGCAGTAAATATGAATCAATTTTGCAAAATTTAAATGATCACAGCATTAAAATTTATTCTTGAAATCTCAGCCTGTACACTTTGGTCTTTATGTAGCACAGCGGTCTGTTTGCAACTTTAAGAAAAGATTGAGAAGGTCCCCGACTTAAGGTAAAATCACTAGCCTGGCATCTTGGCTTAATAGATTGTTGAGAGAAGATAGTGGTGTTAGATAAGCTATACTGTAATAAAAAAAATTCTGAATAAAGAGCCTCAAGCTGGTCATTTTGAGAAAACCAGAAGGAGTAAATACACTCTCCTGTGGTGATGATGGCATCATTTAAAAACTCTGACAAAGCATTTACCAACCTTGACATTTGCGGATCATGTTATCTAAATGATTTGTAGCCTTGCTTCTGCAATAATGGCAGGTCAGACACTCTGTAACTCCAAGTAATATACTAGTCAGAGTTCACTACTGCAGATGCTTAATTTTCCTGTTAACTTGATTATGGCAAATAGGAAAATGCAAGAGTGCTCTGCTCTTGGCTGGGCTTTGCAGAAAAATAGGTAACAATGCATATTTTCATGACATCATTATAAAATACTTTTCGTGACATTTATAAGCCCAGGCTCCAGAATCAGACACACTTTTATCCAAAAGTGGCTCTCTGCTGGCATACTGGCAATGTGATGTGACTTTAAATAAGTTACTTAATAACTCAACCTTGGTTTCTTCATTTGTAAAATGGTACTTTGTCAGGTTGTTATGAGGATTAAGTGAGAAAAGTATGTAAATCTCTTAACACGTGTTAAGAACTGAATAAATGGAAGTGGTTATTGCTTCTGTTTTCCTTTGTCTGCCTTAAAGAAAATTCTTCTGACATGATTGTGTTTGTGATAATGTTTGTGATAAAGCAATATTATTATCCCTTTAATTATAATAAATACAATCTATGTTTTATAACAATAAGATAATATTAATAATAACTGCTGCTTCCAAGGGCAAACATGCAATAACTGATTCTTACACTTCTTTCCAATACTATCTGTGTATTTTTGGAGAATACAATTTTGCTATTTTGTCCTTTCATCTTCTAAAGCAAAAACGGTCAATCTCTCATAACTTGCCTATGAAAAACTATGTCACAGTTAAAGAAATCTCTTCTTTCACTTTGAAATGTTTAGATTTAGAAATTCTATAACTAAAAGATAAAATCATTATCATTACAATGATTGAGATTATATCTCAATCTTTATTTAATATTCACTAGGAATAAAGCAAACATATAAGATCATGTAGTTATGGTCATAATCTACTCATGATCAATTAAAATAATGGGCATGCTGCCACTCACACTGGGCAACATGGGTTTGAACCTTTATAGATACAGAATCATTTTAAATTTTAAATCCAAGTAACCAGAAAGCTCAAAAAAATTTTACATAATATACAATAAGAATATACAATAAGACATTCAATGTATAGAGTTATAGGATACTAAAGTACCATCTAAATAGCAAGAGTAAAAGTAAATCTAATTTAAGTTTAGGGTCAAATGCATTTCACTGTATTCTGGTTCTTTGTATATTGTTAATGCATATATGGTTTGTATATCATGTTACGATAAGTTAACAAATACATTTAATTGTTGTCATAGCTTCATTTCTTAGTTATATTGGCTAAGAAAAAATTTACACATTATCGTCTATAAATTTTTGGGTAACTCAACATATGGCCATTGCCTATTTTATACAACTGTCTTATCCCTTTTTTGTATCAAAGAGTGAATGTCACTAGACTTTTCCATACATCATTTAAAGCCTCTTCTACCTCAACAAAGAAATGAAAATATCATAACATAAACCACTAGATGGCACACTAATAGCAGTGATATTTTAGCATCAGGCAAACAAAATAACATGTTTGAAATTTGTGGAAAGTTAAAACAGTAGATTATATGGGTATACATCGTCTTATTGAGTGAATGTAAACATCAAAACGTTGACTGCAAATGTGAATTTCTATACGGTGTTTCCTCTTCCCATTGATTTCTGTTACAAAATCAAAGATGCCTTTCTTTGGATAATGAAAGATGATGTGGGAGATGTAGGAAATTATCACATAAGAAAATAACAAGTCTTTTATACTGACAGATTTAAAGGAAAATTCTATTTCAACGTTTTAATGAAGGTATTTAAATGACAAAACTTGAATTTTGAATAGCTAAGATTAATTTTTTGTTTTGCACAACATCATACAAGTCTAGCGAAATAAATGACATTTTAACTGCACCAAATGCGTGGGCTGAAAAATCACTCAGAAGCAATTCCCTTGAGTTTCTCCGAAATGAATCCTAACACTCCTAGGGTGCTGATGGGTTTTAGAAATAAATAGTCTGGGCCAAAGAAAAGGAGAACCAGACACAGCAGAGGCAGCAATTACAGCAGAACAGCAAATGAACAAACACAGCAGCAGGTTCTACGAGCCATAGAAGCAATTGAAGCAACGGGAAAGCACATTAATTGAAATGGGTAGTTGGAAACGATGTGAGAATCCTTTGAAAAGAGTCCTTGGTGATGCAATAATTCATTTTTTTTTTGTTATGAATGTCCATATAAGGAAGGTCTACCTGGATAAAAACCAGGTTCATTTTATAATGAAATAAACATTTTTCTGAAGCTACAGTATTTGCTTTGAACATCATTGTTTACTAAATACCTCTTCTTCAAGCTCTGATTCACAGCTGTCTCTTAAGTCAAAATAAAATTCTTAATGATAGGGTCATGGGTTTGTCTGTCTGGCTACTGTCTGGCTGTCTGGCTATCTGTCCTTGCCTAACTACTCTCACCTGCCAAGAAGCTCCAATTCATAGTCTAGTGAGGGAAGAAAATGCCCACCGTCCTCTGCCTGTGTTTCCTTTGCTCTCTTTCCTTGCACGGTGCTGTGGCAAAGATGGCTGCCTTCTTTTCCATAGCGTAGGGTTGTCACTGCAAAGCCCCGCCCAGGTAGGGCCCACGTTTTCCAGTTCTACTTTTCCTTGCTTCCAGGTAGGACTACACGGGCTGAAGTGATGTGTGTCATTTTGCTTTTTATTTATTTAAATTTTTTTTTTTATTTTTTGAAAATTTTATTTTTTTTTTTTTTTTTTTTTCAACACCCATATCTCATGCCGATGTGTGTCATTTGGGCCCAAGATGGTTAAGAAGTGGCGGTGCCTTCTGTACTTTCTTGCTCCCCATCTGCCAGCTGGATGTTGAGAAACAGTAAGATCTTAGGAGACACACATGGAAGGTGGTGGAGACCCCAGCTTTAGGCTCTGCATGGCAGTGTGGGCAGACAGAGGCTTCCTCCCCCCTCACATCCTACCTTCCACCCCTACCACTCAACCAAGAACATCTGTTTTGGATTTTATGTCAGTGAGAGATTGTTAGGGACCGACCTTCCACAGCCCCACCGGACAGAAAAGCAGAGACATCGAGGATGTAATTACACAAGAGGAGTTTATTTTCTGGCTAACCAGGGTCCAAGCCCTAGAGCACCAACACAGTGGCCACTCTTACAGGCAAGGACCCCAACTGGGGTTGCAGCGTGCCTTTTATCCCTATGGTGCATAGGCTATGCAGTGGCTGATCATGCGTGGATCATGCATTGACCTTTAACATGATTGGTTGGCTGGTAGCCCCACTATACAGGGGTTCAAACAATGCAAAGTTGGCGCAAACAAGCAAGCAAGCAACGGTTTCCATGGCAAGCAAGCAACAGTTTCCAGAAGCCGGATGTTAGTTCCGGCTTCACTGGGGGTGTGGGCCTTGCAGGTATGCAATGTCTCGACCCCTCACAAGATAAGCTCTGTTGAGCTACATTATTAAGATTGTTTTTGTTTGTTTTTATAGCAAGTAGTCTTACCTTAATTAATGTATTCGCAAAAGATATTTTCCTACCTAGAATGCCTTTTCTATTATATGAGAAGACAGAGACTGCTTATTGAGTGCTACTATATGCTAAGGACATCATAATGATACCATCTTCATAGTGATTTATACATGGCATCATTCTTTTTATCCTCCCAACCTCAAGAGCTAGTCGGGTTTGGGAGTGAAAGAGGAGAGAAAGGAGAGATTTTGCAAAGGCAGAGTTGCTCGTAAGAATGACAACACACCATGAGTGTATTAAAATATAGATACATGCTTTTGATTTTTAAGATTTTTGTATAAAATATTTTTGGTTTTCACATGGGGCTACCTGAGACAGAATTTTCAAATAGGATTTTTAAATTTTACTTTCTTCCCCTTTCAGGACTACTTTGTGGGCCTTTTATATCTGCATATGTTTTTTAAATTTTGCATTGTGCTCCTCTGTATATGTGTGTACATAGTTTTTTAAAACCCAGTGTATAAAACTAATATTTCCGTAAATATGATTCCAAAAGTAGAAACTCCAGGTTGAGTAAAAACCAGGAGTTTATATTTGGAAGAGACAGGGATTTTGGTGTTCCTTCAGTCTCTCTTCCTTTGGGTCTCCCTGGGCGGCCAACTCAAACACCACTCCATGTCTCTGTGCCACAAAGGTAGTGACCCGTTGGGCATGGAATCAATGCAGGGAAGGGAGAACCAAAAGGAGTACAGTATTCAAATTTAAATAGAGAGCACACATTCTTTTGAGATTCAATTTTTGGTAAAGATCATCCAAATTAAACATTAGTTTGAGCCTGTACATAACTGCTTTTCATTATCTTCAAGATAAGGTAACTAGTAACTAGTTCCTAATTGGAAAGTTTTGACAGGCAATTACATTCACACTAACCTTTTGCAGGGACATTTACTGCAGTGAGATGTCTCTGAATTATTAAGATTCTGCTTCATAACTGGAAAATTCCATCACTTTCAATAAATTTTCAGACTGTCTCCTTTGGGTCCAATGTGACTGTAAAATGCCAATTAGAAAATTGCAGACAATGGGCTCACAAGACCTGGAAGAATTCCAAATCATTTAGTGGGCTTATCCAGCCATTTGCTGAACAATGAAAGAAATGTGGGAAATGCAGCAGCTAAAGAGTATTATTGTTTGACTGAGCTGCCTTCTGTGCAGTGTGTTTTGATACACTTTAAAGTTCACAAAATCAGGGCATCTCAGGTTACAAGAGGCCCTACAAGATCATTTCAATCTGTCATTCTTTTCCCCACTTTATCTAGTGAGATATATTTAAATCAACAAATTTTTTAAAAAAAAATATTGACCCTATATGGTGCTGGGAGCAGAGGGACACAGCAGGAATAAAGCTCCCATATATTGAGAATTTACCACGAGGCCGTGCTTTGCTAGATACTTCACAATATATCATCTAATCCTCACATCAATCATATGAGGTAGGTATTAGGATTTCCATTTACTGATGAAAATCATTGTGAGGTAAGTGACTTACCCAACTGTGTAATTTTAGCAAGTGGGGAAGTCCAGGTGGGAACCCGTGCTCTTTCCTGGCTCCAAATCTCATCCATGAGAGGTAGTCCTCAAGAAACTTTCAGTTTAGTTCACTCAGGAGGTAGAAAGTGCAATAACAATAGAAAATGTAAATCACAGGCCACAAAAATACATATGGACAGGCCTAAGAAGGTTCGTGATTCATTTCCAAATGACTGATACAGGCAAGAAGTGCCTTAGAGATTCAATGGCTCTTTCTATAGAGAAATACATTTAGATCAACAAGTATTTATTCACATTTACCCTGTGAATGTAGCGTGACACAACAAGAATAAAGCTTCCTGTACTGAGTCATTGCCTGGCATGGTTACCAAAGCCTTCTCTGAGCAGGTAGGAGGTAAAAGTAGCAAGTGTCCTTCAGATTGGATCTGGACGGCTGTGCTAACAGGGCACATGAGGCAGAGGCAATGAGATGCAAAAATGTGTGGAGGTGGAAGAACAAGGCCGGTCAGTAGGACACTAATGCACCACTTTTTGACCTGATTGGAAGTTCGCATGAGGAGGAGTAGTCGCTAAGGCATCATTGTAGGTCTTTGCAACTATGAATTGGCAAGTCTTCCAGCTATTCTGAAAGCAATGGTGAATGTCAAAGTTTTTTGAACAGAGGCATGAACAATAAATTCATCCAGGTGATCAAGAGATTTGCTCACAGGAAAAGTAAAAAAAATAAATACTCAAGAAAAAAAAAAAACCTTCCTGATTTAAAAGAAACCATGGGTCTGATAATTAAAGAAGTCTATAATGATGACTTTAGTGTGTGCTTGATGAGCTGGGTTTCTTACCAACTCATTGCTAGAAAACACACTCTGTTGTCTACCATGTAACCCCAGCCATCTTTATATCCCACCTGTCAGAAATATGGAGAAGTAGCAGACCTGGGGAATGTTCATTAAAATTCTGAGTATATATTCTTTTAGAACAGTGCTGAGAAAGGGTATAGGCCAGCACTATACTGGAGGTCTGTATTAGTCTGCTTGGGCTGCCATAACGAAATACCACAAACTGGGTGGCTTAAATGACAGAAACTTCTTTCTTACAGTTCTGGAGACTGGAAGTCCCAGATCAAGGTGCCAGCACATGTGGTTTCTGGTGAGGGCTCTCTTCCTGGCTTGCCTCCTCACTGTGTCCTCACATGGCAGAGAGAATGAGATTGACATACCTCTCTCTTCATTTTCTTATAAGACCGCCACCCTATCAGATTAGGGTCCCACCCTTATGACTTCATTTAAGCTTAATTACTTCCTAAAGACTCTATCTTCAGACACAGTCACTTTGGGGATTAGGGCTTCAGTGTATGAATTTTGGGGAGACAGAATTCAGCTCACAGCAGATGTTTGGGTACAGACAATCAAACGCTAGAGATTTTTCACTTATGATTTTGAAAACTATATGGAAATTGAAAAATCATCACTATAGCAGGTAAAAAGGTAATGTTTTCTACCACATTTTCTATTTTGTAGAACCTTCCCATAATCTCAAAACATATAAATACTATTCTTTTTATATATTAAAATTATGTAATTGATGACATATGATTAGAGTTATTTTGAATAAATGTATTATAGCTACATGAAATAACATAGACTGCCAAATCCACCTTTTGCTAATAATAGTTTCCATTTAATTGATCACTGAGCATATGTTGAGCTTCAACGTATGTTATCTCATTAATCTTCAAAATAACACTACAGTGTAAGATCCTCATTCCGCAGATGAGAAAAATGAAACTTGGAGAATTTAGGTGATAATACAAGATATAGCCAAATTTCAAACTCAGGGTTGGCTGATTCCCAAGCCCAGAAATTCCCCTGCACCATCTTGCTATTATTAATGTGATATTGTAGATGTGGTATTTCAGTGCATTGATGATATAACAGATAAAAATGACATTTTCAAAAATTAAGATCTTGAAAGAATGGGGGACAGCAATCATCAGAATCACCCAGAGGATTTTTTTTTTTAAATCCAGATGTGGTTCTCATCTGTCACTGTAAATCACAAACATTCACACAAGCCTGCCCATGGAACCAGAGTGTCTAAGGATAGGGACTGGGAATCTGAATTTTATACAGTTACCTAGGTGATTCTGGTGATTGACCAGGTTTGGGACTGCAGTGAATTGAATGGTGGTCCCCAAAATGGTATGCCCATGTCCTAATCTCCTGAGACTGTGAATGTGCCTTATTTAGAAAAATAGACTCTGTAGAAGTCATTAAGTTAAAGATCTTGAGATGAGACCATCCTGGATTATCTGGGTGGGCCCTATAGTCAATGACAAGTGTCCTTGAAAGAGACAGAGGAGAAGAGAAGGCCACGTGAAGGTGGAAGCAGAGATTAGAGCTCTGCAGTCACAGTCAAGGAACACCCAGGGCTGCCACAAGCAGAAGAGACGTGAAAGCCTCCTCTCCTCCAGTCTTTGGGGAGTACACCCTGCTGACACTTTCATTTTTGATTTCTGGCCTCTAAACTGTGAGAAAATACATGTCTGTTGTTTAAGTCACCAAGTCAGCCGTAGTCCATCACTAGGAACTAATACAGAGACATAATGATTTAGGTGACATAAAGTAGCAAAGGTAATTAAGGCAGGATCGAATGTTGGAAATGAGAGAGAAAAATTGGAAATAATAGGACATCTTTTTGCCACTCAAGATGCAATTACTTAATTTGCAACTTACAATTTAATAGGCTATTTTGATTGGGTCTCCACCATTTAAAACTCCATCTATTCATCTTTAACCATTTTAAAAATATTTAACAGACCTTGTAAATTGTACCTGCATTACTGGGAACAGTTCTCAGTCTGAGATAGATAATCCCCTTGTGCATGGAGGCTTTACTATGATCTTAGAGCTCAGGGAAGCATAACTATTTCCTTCCCAGACACAAGTGGTGAGACTAATATCACACAGGAAAATAACAACTATAGAGAATAGGTACTCACAAAGGGTGGGAGATACCTCTTTTATTTTGTGCTTTTGGAGGTGCAAATGCCATTTTTCCTATTCTTCAGCAAGTACAACTCTAGCTTGAAGCCTTGCCATTCTTTGGGAGACAAATAGCACAACATGGACAGGGGTGGCATTTGTAAGATTAATGTGATTAAAAACCATAAGTAAAAGACAATTACTATGGTTCTCTTGGTGTCATGCCAGTAAATCTTGTTCCACCTGTAAATGTTACTAATATTTTGAAGGATTCAAAGGTAGATACCAAGTATTGTTCCTCAATGCCATTAAAAATAAAACAGTACGTGTGTAGTATTAAGTCTATTTGTGTTCTAATTAGGAAAATTATTCGAATGTTATGTTGGGCCCCAATCCAGCAATATTTTATTCATATTTTACTTGGATCTTGCTGATAATCAGGTGCTTTTTGAGATTACATAGTCTAGTTACGATTGTGTTATACATTTATTATTTGATTCCCAAATTTTTATTTCTTATGCCGGCAACATCACTTCCCAAAATCCAAACTGGAGAATGGTCTACAATTCCATTAAAATGCCATTTGACACTTGCGATTGACCAACCACAAAGACTTTTGATTTCCTTCCCAAACTTGCTTCTTTCCCAGGTTCTCCATGTCAGTTTGGTGGCCCGTTGGCCTGATTGTTCAAGTCAGAAACGATGAGTCTTTCTTCCTTCTCTTCTGACAACCTTTACTCAAGTCTATATCAGATACCAGCGGGGCACAATCTTCCAAAAAATATCCTGAATCCTACCTTCTCTTTCCCTTAGTGTCCTGCACCTCTGTTACCTAGTTTATGTGCAATACGTTTAAACCAGTCTTTCTGATTCCTACTCTGCCCCCTACAGTTTATTTCCCACCCAGCAAAGCCAGAATTTAAAGAATATAAACCCCAGATTCATTTTTATCTATGTCCATCTACTTAAACCGCTCCAATACTGTCTAGATTATTAACATAATAGGGTTAATGTTGAAATCAACCCTCCAGATACCACTGTAGGTTTGACAAGATAGAGGACTGTTAATGATCATCTCTAGGTCAGGGGCCGCAGGCCAACCCCATTTATTGTTCTACGTATGGTTTCTACTATGTAATTTGTCTGCATGGCTTGAGATGGCTCAACATCACAACCGTTTGCTTCTCCAGGCCAGGAGTATAGTGGAAAGGAGAGGCGCATGCTTCTCCCATAAGGACACCACTTTGAAAATGTATATATCATGTTTCTACTCACGATCTCCAGGCCAAAAAGTGTTATGCTACCACAATTAATTGCAAGGAGGCCTTTAGAAATAATCCTTTTAATCCATGTAGTCATGTGCTACAGCGGAAATTGTTAGAGTTCTATTCCAATAGCACAAAGGAGAGAGAATGAGTACCTGGGTGTGACGGTAGAGCTGGTTGTGTAAATTACAAGACCACGTAGTTAATGGCTCAACAAAGCAAAAGTTAATTTTTTCCCAAACATAACACGTTTTGGGTGTGTGCACCCAGTCCGTTGGTCAGCTTTTCCGGTAGGTCATCCAGGTTCCAGAAGAGGAGGCATTTTCCCTT